GGGCTGCGATCTGTGAAACTGTCGCCACTTTCGAGGCCTGCTGGGGGGCCCAGCACAGTGAGGGCCACGCGCGGATTCAAATTAGACCTCGCCATCCCTGGGGGGCTGCGATCTGTGAAACTGTCGCCATTTTCGAGGCCTGCTGGGGGTCCTGCATAGAGGGTAATCGCGGCGGATTCAAATTAGACCTCGCCATCCCTGGGGGGCTGCGATCTGTGAAACTGTCGCCACTTTCGAGGCCTGCTGGGGGGTCCTGCATAGAGGGTAATCGCGGCGGGTTCAAATTAGACCTCGCCATCCCTGGGGGGCTGCGATCTGTGAAACTGTCGCCACTTTCGAGGCCTGCTGGGGGGTCCTGCATAGAGGGTAATCGCGGCGGATCTCAAATTAGACCTCGCCATCCCTGGGGGGCTGCGATCTGTGAAACTGTCGCCACTTTCGAGGCCTGCTGGGGGGTCCTGCATAGAGGGTAATCGCGGCAGATTCAAATTAGACCTCGCCATCCCTGGGGGGCTGCGATCTGTGAAACTGTCGCCACTTTCGAGGCCTGCTGGGGGCCCAGCACAGTGGGTACAACCGCGGATTCAAATTAGACCTCGCCATCTCTGGGGGAAGGGGGGGGGCTGCGATCTGTGAAACTGTCGCCATTTTCGAGGCCTGCTGGGGGGTCCAGCATAGAGGGCAATCGCGGCAGATCCAAATTAGACCTCGCCATCCCTGGGGGGCTGCGATCTGTGAAACTATCGCCACTTTCGAGGCCTGCTGGGGGGCCCAGCACAGTGGGTATCACCGCGGATTCAAATTAGACCTCGCCATCCCTGGGGGGCTGCGATCTGTGAAACTGTCGCCACTTTCGAGGCCTGCTGGGGGGTCCAGCATAGAGGGTAATCGCGGCAGATTCAAACTAGACCTCGCCATCCCTGGGGGGATGCGATCTGCGAAACTGTCGCCATTTTCGAGGCCTGCTGGGGGGCCCAGCTGTCGCCATTTTCGAGGCTTGCTGGGGGGCCCAGCACAGTGAGGGCCACGCGCGGATTCAAATTAGACCTCGCCATCCCTGGGGGGCTGCGATCTGCGAAACTGTCGCCATTTTCGAGGCCTGCTGGGGGGCCCAGCACAGTGAGGGCCACGCGCGGATTCAAATTAGACCTCGCCATCCCTGGGGGGCTGCGATCTGCGAAACTGTCGCCATTTTCGAGGCCTGCTGGGGGGCCCAGCACAGTGAGGGCCACGCGCAGATTCAAATTAGACCTCGCCATCCCTGGGGGGCAGCGATCTGCGAAACTGTCGCCATTTTCGAGGCCTGCTGGGGGCCCAGCAAATAGTAGGGCCGACGCTCGCCATCCCTGGGGGGCTCAAATTAGACCTCGCTGATCCGAAACTGTCGCCATTTTCGGAGCCTGCTGGGGGCGGGCCCACACCTGAGGGCCACTTCGCGAATTCAAATTATAACCTCGCACCAATCCCTGGGGGGGCTGCGATCTGCGAACTGTCCGCATTTTCCGAGGCCTGCTGGGGGGCCCAGCCATCAGTGAGGGCCACGGCGCAGATTTCAATTAGACCTCGCCATCCCTGGGGGGCTGCGATGTGCGAAACTGTCGCCGTTTTCGAGGCCGGCCTGCTGGGGGGCCCAGCTCAGTGAGGGCCACGCGCGGATTCAAATTAGACCTCGCCATCCCTGGGGGGCTGCGATCTGCGAAACTGCCGCTATTTTCGAGGCCTGCTGGGGGGCCCAGCACAGTGAGGGCCACGGGCAGATTCAAATGAGACCTCGCCATCCCTGCGGGGCTGCGATCTGTGAACCTGTCGCCACTTTCGAGGCCTGCTGTGATCCCCGTTTTCGAAGTGGCTAGGAGTGCTCAGGAATTGTAAATCATCAGCTTTATCAAGCCCTTTTCCTGTAGCCAGTGTCCTGCGAGTCTCCCGAATTCCGTCTGCAGACATATGTAACCCTCGCTCCGTCATCGCCCCCTTATAAAGTATCCTAAACTATTTGCGCCCCGCTTTTGCGCAGGGGTTGGGTACGTCGCCAGGGTAATTTTTATATTTTTCGTCCAAAGTCCCCCTCTAGGGGGAAAGGCCCGACCTAGGGAAACGATCAATGACATAAACATAACAACTCGCAGGTCCGCGCTGATCTCCCGGATCCGCGCGGATTTCTAGGATCGGCGGTTCCGCGCGGATTTCTCGGATCCGCGCGGATTTCTCGGATCGGCAGGTCCGCGCGGATTTCTCGGATCCGCGCGGATTTCTCGGATCCGCGGGTCTGCGCGGATGTCCCGGATCCGCGCGGATTTCTCGGATCGGCGGATTTCTCGGAGTTCCCGGACCCAGGCCCAGCGGGATCTGGCAGCGCCTCGAGCAGGGGAGCGTCGAGGGGGCGGGCGGCGGCGACGACGTCGGGCGGCCTTGCCTGCACCTCCGGCGGAGCCGACGTGTGCCGCGGGTGTGGGCTTCGGTCGGGCCGGTCCCCTCTGCATGGGGGGAAGTTGGAAGATAAAAAAAAAATAGCCCAAAACAAAATGCTCAGAAGATGCCCCAGAATACTCAAAAAATAGTCCCCGACTGTCTTTGGACTATTTTCGGAAATTCCCCCCCTCTACGGGGGGATTGTGGACGAAAAATAAAACAGACCCCCCCCCCAACAGAAAATATATACATTCAAGAGATGCCCCAAAATACAAAAAAATGTCCCCAGACCATCTTTTGGCTATCTTCGAGTCTTCCCCCTGTAGAGGGACAGGCCCGACGTAAAGTGTGTGCCGCAGGTGGGAGCCGGGCGGCGGGCGTCGGAGGGCGGGAGACCGTGCGCGGCCTCCTGCCCACAGCAGGCCCGCGCGGCGCCCGCTGCCGCGCGGCGCCCTGTGCTGCTGCAGCGTCTGCAGCTCACGCATGGACTCTCGCGCGTCGCGCTTTGCTGCTGCTCCCTCCTCCTCCTCCTCCTCACCCCCTCCTCCTCCCCCTCCCCCTCCTCCTCCTCCTCCTCCTCCTCCTCCTCCTCCTCCTCGTCCTCCTCCTCCTCCTCCTCCTCCCCGCCTCCCTCGCGCTTTGCTGCTGCAACGTCGCGTGGGTGCGCGGAATCAGTTCGCGGACTCTCGCATGGAAGACACAGCCAAGGCCACGCCAGCGGCGATGCTGCTCAGCGGTGATGTCGGAGGCCGCACCGCAAGAGATCACGGACCACACTTTCCTACATCTCTGGTGTGCGGATGTATCGAACGAAAACGGCACCGCGAATTGTAGGAAAGCGCGAGCCGCGCGTTCCCACAATACCGAAACATACATCCCCATTACCTGCATCGCCGTTAGCGCGTCGACGGATATGGTTCTCAATGCCAACATGTTCTGCCGAAATGTCTGACAGACGCGCTGGAAAGTGGGCTGAGCCAGCAAAGCGTGCCTGGCAACACAGATGATCTCGACGGTTGCGCGATGCGCCCGCCAAATGTAGAAAATCACTGCACGCAGATTCCGTTGAATGTTGATACAACCTGTTGGTTGCCACACATCGAGGGATCGGGCGTTGGCAGAACTGGGTTTAATGGAACTTGACTTAGTGATGTGTACTGGGGGACGCCCCCCCCCGCCCCGTTCCACTAACCGGAACTGCCGTGACCCGAAAAAAACACCAACTACGGCAGACCTGATTTAGTGATTCTGCTCCATTTAGGGGCTCTGGCGCCCTACTACGAACCGGGTCCCCTTACCTGGGGTCCTGGCTATACCCGAAGGGAGGAAGTGGAAGACGAAAGGAGACACAAGCAACCTTCCACGAGAAATGCTGCGGTGTATCGAAATCGCGGATTGTTGCATCTTGGTCGCATGGCGCGCCATGCGCGATGCACAGCAAGAACACGCCTCGCAAAAATTTGTCAATGCAAATTCGCCTCAAAACCGCGCAATTCCATTTGCTTGCGCCAAGGCAGAAACCGAAAACAATACATCAAGCGGCCCCAATGTGAAATCAACAACTGCGACCGGGCCATCCTTAAATTGGACCCGACTGGCCTTGATTTCTGCTAAGTCCTGTTGGCGAATGGAGCATATAGGGAGAAACTGCAATCGATCCTGCCAGTGGCGGGATGGACGAAAGGGAGAGGAGCGTGAAGGCGACCGTCACGTTTTTTTGTTTCTCTTACGATGCGCGCCGGACACATGCGCGTGGCTCAACTCGGCGATGCATGTCTGCCAGGAAGCTGGAGCACGCACACGGGGCTTCAACATGCTGGCCATCGCTCGGACGTCCATTCCCTGTTTTTTTTGTTGTTTCGTGCGTGGTTGTCGCCAAATGATCAGGGATGCTCCTTGATTGTCCTCGCCGAAGGAAGCATGCACACGTCCGAACGATGCAAAGGGATACAAGTTCAGAGGGCTGGCGTACTTGGCCACAAGAGGGCAGCACGCTGGAAAGACATGTGGCCACAAGTGTCTCCAACTTTTGAGCAGCGACCGACCGTCCCGGCATTCCCATAGTCCTACCACGAAGCGTTCTTAGAGCCAAAAAATGTTCTAAAAACAAAAACAATGTTCTTGGAACATTAACCGGATGTGTTCAAACAAGACAGTCCCAATCAAAAATGTTCTGAGAACATTCCGTGGAAACCACACAAGACTCTTAGAACATTGTTTGGTAGGGCTGTAGGCGAGCCAAGACGCTTCGCCACTGCTTGAAACTCTTGCCGAGGCCACCTGCCGCGCGAGTCCGGCTTCCTGGTAAGCTCAGCCTGCAGTTTCTGCGAGAGCTGGTGCTGCTAGTCTGGGTGCGCTACTCCGTCCCGAGGCACCGTGTCCAGAGGGAAGCCTTCACGCTGGCCCGCACTCATCAATGTCAGGCACGTCTTGAGATTCGCGGTCTGCCATCGCGCGGGGCAGGAGTTCAGAGAAAAAAGTGAAAGATTGAGTAAAAAAAGAGAGAGAGAGAAATATGGGGAGAGACGGAGAGAGGGAGAAATACCGAGAAATCGGGACAGGGCTCGAAACAAACAAACATTTAGCATCGTGACAGTAAGAAACACGCAAGTGTAATTCGAAGGACGAGACAATGATCAGACAGGGAGTAGCAGAGAGGAGGAGGGAGGATGAGAGGGCTGAATACATGAAGCGATAGACGCACAAAGAGCGTCAACACTGCTCGGGGATAATTACTTCTTCATTCCTGCGTACTCTGCGCGCCCGAGCGGCTTGGCCAGTGGAAAGACCGACCTTTCCCTCGTCGTGCTTGCAAAGGGAACTGCTACAACAACCATTACCATCCAGGCCAGGCGGCGAGGAATCAGCTCACCGCTCCGAAGAGCCAGAGGTTCGCTGGGAAGGCCGCGCTCCCATGACATCGCCCCTTTCGTGCGTCCACGCCCCCGATTCCAGGGGGGCCCTGCGCCCCCCGATGGCACAATTGGGCCACACGTCGCGCCCCCCCCCCCCCGCTTCCGACGCGGAACCCGCCGGCCATCAGCGAACTCGTCCCGAGAAGACTGCTGGCAACCTGGAGACGACTCGAGCGGCAAGCAAACTGCACAAGCAGAAACTATCGAAGTCCACGCGGACCTCTTGGATCTGCACTGAGACCCCGCTCCTGGCGCGCGGAGCGCGCAAAGGGCGGCGCCGGAGGCGCCGCCAAGGGGGCCCAGAGCAGCTGCAAGAATCCACGCTGGCAGCGGAAAGTGTATGTTTGTAACTTCTATTCCCTCGAGTCGCCAACGGCCTGCGGGGGGGCAGGGCCTGAATCGAAGAAGGAACAATCACGGAAACAACAACTTTCGAAGCTCTGCGCGGGGTCCCTGGATCTGCGCTGGGCCCCCCTGGCGGCACCTCTGGCCTTCCAGCGCCGCCCCTGACGCGCTCCGCGCGCCAGAGGGGGTCCAGAGCCGATCGAAGAAATCCGCGCGGACCTCCGAATGCTTATGCCTATGATTTTTTCCGGTCGCATCACTGAAGGGTTCTGGGAAGTCAACGTGGCAACGGTGGAGGCCTATCAGGCCAGACTGCGGCGCCATTGAGCCGTACGCGCCCGGGCTGAGCCCAGCATGGAACCCAGGACTGAACCCGATGGATCCGGACTGGGCAGGGGAGCCCATAAACGAATCGATAAGTAGGATCGGCGATCGAAATGAATCGGATCAGCAGAAATCGGCAGTCGAATCGGGAGATGTCGAATAGGCAGAAATCGGCAGGCTAGTAATGCTTTCAATCATCAACATCGGAATGCGAAGCCGAGTCGGAATGGGAAGCCATCGAAATCGATTCGAATCGAATCGGGGTCGAAACGCGCCTTGCTGACTGAGCTCGCTAGAAGCAAGACCACGACCTGAGGGAACAGGCGCTGACATACGCATCAACTTCTGGACGTCCGCGCGGACTTCTTGGATCTGCGCTGGACCCCAGACCCGGCGCGCGAGGGCGGCGCTGGAGGCGCCGCCAGGGGCGCCCCTCCGTGCCCGAAAGTGGCCGCGCCACCCCGCCGAAGATCATGGGGCGTGCGGCCTGGCGGACACGACGAAAGGAAAGAGACGGCGGGGCGGTCCTGCACGTGGCCGTTGAAGCCCAGGGGGGGGCGCGCGAGCGCGCCCGCGCGCGCCCCGTTCCACGGAGCTGAGACCGCCCCAAAACATTGAGGATCTGCACCACACCAGGCGGTGCGAATTGAATCGGAGCCAGGGAGCCCCGGGATCCCCAACCCCCAACGGCCTCGCACCAACGAGACAGCGTGTGTCGGGTTTCCCTTCGCCCCCTGGGTGCCTGCCTTCTAGAAACAACTTGAGATTCATGGTGGCACGCGCTGACAACTCACTGGGCAGTACGCATCTAGAAACAGCAGGTGAGCCTGCCCTGTGCTGCAGTATCCACGCAGCATGCACGTCAAGACCGGCCCAGATGATGCAAACAAGCGGTGGCCGCGAGCATAAACGGGAAACGCGAGACCATAGCCGGGCAGCGGGGCTCCAGGAAGGGTCGCCTGACTGAGGATCGGTCTCCCTTGGGTGCCATCTCCAACGCGCCACCGCTTGACAGAAGGGGCCCGGGAACACACGGAACGATAAGCACAAGTAACGGGACTCCCGACATGTCTCAATCTTTTCTGGGTCTTCGTCTCCCCCCCACTTCCCGTACTTCTTCCATATCTTCCTGGGAGTCGACGGTTGCTTGTGCCTCTGTGCGTGTTTCCCCTCCTCATTGGCATCTGGAACAGCAGGTTGCGAGCATTCTTGGACGCAGCCCGCCGGCCGCCCGCGCGCGCCCGCTGGCGACGAGGGTGACAGTTGCCCCTCGGGCGAGCTGGCCGACCATCCGACGAAGAGGGGGCGGCGGCAGGAGCAGGAGCAGGAGGAAATAGCAGGATGAGGAGGAGCAGCAGCAGCAGGAGCAGGAGCAGGAGGAGGAGGAGCAGCAGCAGCAGGAGGAGGAGCAGGAGGAGAAGGTAGAGGAGGAGCAGGAGGAGGAGGAGCAGCAGCAGCAGGAGGAGGAGCAGGAGGAGAAGGAGGAGGAGGAGCAGGAGGAGGAGGAGGAGGACGGCGCCTCGCTTGCGCTGGCTGGCCTCCATCCCGAACGGACCAGCGTCCTGGGCCACGCCCGCTGGCCCCGCTGACAATCTACCAGACCACCCCAACCCAACCCGACGACCCGAATTTCGGGTTGGGGGGGGTAAGGGTTCCACATGTGTTCTCTCGATGTTTCCCGACCCCCCCCACTGGAAATCGAGGGTAAATCTGAGCCTTCGGGTTGGGTTGGGGTGGTTTGGTGGGCGGTGACCCGCTGGTGGCCCTCGCTCGTCATCGCGCTCGTGAGCGGACGAGGCAGAGGGCTGCGAGGGAACATCCGCGAGAGCCGAGCAGGCGAGGTCCACGGCCGTCCCCCCCTGGTGAGGGAGCCCACCCGACCACCCCTCGGAGGCAAGTCGGCTTCAGGCACGAGCGTAGCGGCCGCGGCACGGGCACGAACAAGGCGGGCGAGTGAAGAGCGTCGACCACGGGTCTTCTCCACGCTCGCGGAACTTGGCAGAACATGCGACGCAACTGTCGGCCAGGGGGGGGCTCGTGGGGCCACGGTCCCTGCGCTTCCAAGCTTGCTTCTGGCGAAGCACAATGGCGCGCCAACCCGCCTACATATGAGCCCCGTGCGCGGCGGCCATCCATCGCAGGCATATGTAGACGTTCTCACGGGCTATCGACATAGACTTCAAGGCGGAGGCTGGTGCAACATGTAAATCCATCCCTTGAGTGGCGGCATGATCCGCCCACCTGTTGCCTCTGGCGAGCTCGCTAGGGCCACGCTGGTGGGCCCTGACGTGCTCGACCCTCCGAATTTCGCGGAGGCCTTCATGGCCATGGATCTTGGCCCATATGGCGTCCCACAGATCCACGTTGGTGCGCCGGGGGGTTTGCGCCAGTCAGGTCCCAATCGAAGCCCATCAACGAGCCCTGTAAAATCCGTGCAAACTAACATCGGCAGGCCACCATACTGCAACACTTGGAAGGTGCAAAAAACAAAACGCTTGGCCCCTGGGGAGGACTGCATGGGGCCAGTCAAGGCCCTGAGCAGCTAATGACACCACGTCTCTGCGCAGGACTGGAGCGGAGCCCAATGCCGCACGAACACGCTCTGGCCAATGCCGCGCCTTCTTGCGCGCACCGTTTGTGGAAATCGTTCCAACGGACAGGTCAGAGCATCCACGTGCTGCGCGCGCCACTGCGAGGTGTCGAAACGCCACCATAACGGATTTTCAAAAATGGAATCTCGAATCAAAACTCGATTGAATCGTTCGCCGCCTTCAAAACTCACATTTGTATATAGCAAATACCGACGTTTTTGAACGGCCAGACAGGGAGGCAGGGGTGGCAATCACGCCCGACCGACGAAAGCCACGGCCTCCCGGCCGAGCGCCTGGCTCACGCCGCGGGAAAAATCCGCGGAGGTCTGCTCCATCAGACAAAGCTGCCTGGAGGACGAGGAGGAGGAGGAGGAGGTGGAGAAGGAGGAGGAGGAGGAGGAGGGAGGAGGAGGAGGAAGGGGAGGTCTCTCATCCTCCCCATTGTGTGCACAAGTCCACCAGGCATGGTGGCCGTCGCCCGCTGGGGAGGGGCAGTGTGGGCACGGCGCATCTTTGCAGTATCCGCATTGAAAACGCCGGCGTCGGTCAGGATACCGCGTGTCCTCACCAACAACAGCGCGGGCAATCCCAGCTTCGTGCACATCAGGAGCCCATGGTTTGTTAGCTCACGGGGAATTTCGAAGGTCTTCGAGATCTTCAAGTCCTTCGGAGTCATCATCGGGGCCCTCGCGCTCGTGCGCCTTGTGATGCAGCGGCAAAGCTGGCTCCATCCAGTGCCCCAGGGGCGCCTTGGACCTAATGCGCTCCCCCGAAACAGGGGGCCCTCTGGCAAATTTTTCCCCGAGCAAATGCATGGCCGCATCCCGAGCAAGCGTTTCCTTCCCGAGCTTCCCGAGGTCCATTACATCGCCCAGGTCGGTGCGCCAAAGGAACGCCGATGAAGAGGTTCACTGGAGGTCCTAGAGGGCCCATAGAATTGCCCCTGCAGGCCGGGCGACGAAATCCCTTGGCGCGTCGGTGCGATGCACCTTCTTAATCTACCTTTCCAGGCGAGGCCCATGCAACCACCTAGCACACTCCGATTTCGCCACAGAAGCGCCGATTTGAAAAGCGTCGCGTCCCAGGCTGTCACCTCGAGGTCGGTGTACACACTACCTTGATGGCAGGTCGTGCTCTACGAGCTGGTCGAAGCGCCAGCTGAGCGTCATGCTTGCCGAAGAAGTGCCCGCGTGTGAGATGCGAGCCGAGGTGGGCCTCTGTGAACCCCGATGTCATAATTCATTTATGATGGTCACGCTTGATGAAGAAGCTTGCTCACTACGAAGCCAGCTCGCCGGATCATCCTGGCCCGAGCTCGATGCCCAGAGAATCTGAGAGCGCTGCAACGAGCCTCAATAACTCAATGGCCCATGGAACTACACTGCCAACTCCGCCCGTGATAGAGACTGAAATCGCCAGCATAAAGACCCATAGCGCGCGGCATGCGCGCGCGGCATGCTCGTGCGCAACGTCGAACGGACTGAGAATGACACGCACCGGAGCGAACGCGGCAAAGGCGCGCCCGGGGAGTGCACCACGTGCTGCCCAAACCTCGACAGAGAAAAACTGTCATCCCCCAAGGAAGCCGCCGCGCGCCCGCGCGAATTCGAATAACGAGAGACATGAGCTGGCCAGGGAACCCGTGCACACTGACAGCTCGAAGTAACTTTATTCAGGGTGCTGTGTCACAACGCTTCTCACTGTCCACTGTGGCGTGTATAGGTGCTGGGAGGTCAAGGTCTTCGCGGCCTCCTCCTTCTGCTTGCGCGAGAACTCTAGCAGCCGCGTCGGCGGTTTGCCTTCTGGGCCCCCAAGGCGACGCAGGGCCGACGCAAGTTCGAATGCCACCTGCGCACCAGAGAAACCAAACTTTTGGTCTACCAGCGATACATAGAGGGAAATCGGGCAATAGGTCGATAGCCCCCAGAAGGCGCGGTGGGGAGGACGAAATGAACAAGGGCCAGTAGGGGGGGGATCCGGGTCAATTGGTGGGCCCACACTGTGGGTTCGTAGCTCATCATCACCATTATCATCCATCGCGGAATAATCATTATCAGCATGCCCGCCGGCATCGTGATCGTCGTCGTCGACGCCGTGCATGTCAGCGACAGCATCATCATCGCCGTCATCGTTGCATATCGTCTCATTCGCTGTCCAGAAGGATTCGGACAAATCCGCGATGCTTTGCGGTTTCCAGTTGTGTCCTGTTGTGTCATGATGCGTTCTGCGGCTTGCCGTGGCGTCCTGCGGTGTCCAAGTTTGTCCTACGCAATCCCGCTGTGCACAGCAGTGTCTTGATCTGCCCTGCGATGTCTTTCGGTGCACCCTGGCGCCGTGCGATGACTCTATGTCAAACGCTAGTTGCGAGCGCGCCTCCGCCGTTGCGGGAGCGCCCGCGCCTGCGACTGCTCGCGCGTGCAGAACCGCGACGTCGCGCCCGACGCGCGCGCAAGCAGTGGGGGACATATTGCGGCTGCGGAGCACACTCCCGCATTCCGATGTAACTGCGAATGCTTTGAGCGCGTGCTGCGCCAGAACATGCCCCTGCCTCTAATTACAACGACGCTGCGCGAGCTCTGCGCCGCCTGCTGCTCCAGAGCACCCCTCGTCCTCACACCTCATTTTCTCTCGAAGCAACTATGTCTCTGCTCGCCCCGCGTCGCCTGAGCTGGCTTCTCCAAGACGGTCGCGCCGCTCTCCGCACCGCCGGCTTCCTCGCGATATCCCTGGTGTTGTCCTCTTGGTGGCAGCCCGCGCAGTCGCGGGTCGCGCTGGTCGTCCGCTGCGGGGCCCCCCCCCGCGCTCGGGCGCGACTTGGAAGTCCTCTTGCCCGCAATGGCAACTGGGCGCTTGGTTGAGTGCTCGGCGTCGCCAGAGTCCACGTGGACGTTGTGGC